AAAAAAAAAAAAAAAAAACTAAAATTGTCCAATTAAATTTATTTTTTTTAGCGGGTAATCGGTTCGGAGTGGGGCACCGTTGTTAAATATCATATCCACCCCACCACGAATCGGTCATTAAAATCAAAACCATAACCAACCACCCCATTGCACCATCGGTTCGGTTTTTTTCGCCCCATTCGGTTCGGTTAACTGTGATTTTCGGTTTACACAGTTCGAATTGCCATCCCTAACTAGACTAGACACCTTTCCGTCTTTTTCTTCTTTTTTGGGTAGTAGAGATGAAAGAAAATGTAGATAAGTACATTTCAATAAGGCGATAAAGTTAAGGTGCTTAATAAGAGCAACAAAAATACCTGGCGATGAACTACAAGCAACCGAAGATGGCGTAGCAGGGGGAGACAAAATCTGATAAACATGCAGCTCTAGGACTCTTATCTACCAGGTTGATGGAATGAGACTGCAGAAGTTCTGTATTATTAACACTAACGACCAATCCATTTTTGGTTGTACATCTTCAGGGCAGTCAACTTTCTTCTTCTCATATTTTGCTAATCCCTCGCCCCAGCCAAGGCGTGGCTTCTTCCTTAAATTAGACTCTTCAGATAGAGCTGGAGCAGTGGATGCCACGCAAGCAGCATCATCCCCAGAAGGAGACTGAACAGACATCACATTCTTCAGCTGCACCTCCACCAGAGTCTCATTGGAGTAGGCTCCAACACTCTTGGAGCTACTCGAATGGCTGAAACCAGACCCCTTCGAAGACAAGCTACCTGACCGATTCCATTTCAGAGGCTTCCAATCTATTGACACCACCAAGTTCTCTTTCTCTACATTCTGAAACATGCTGGCCAAAGCATCAACATTGTCACCCTTCTTATCATGTCGATCTTTCACGAGATGGATTTTGAGCCAATGAGTTCACAGAGTCAGGAAGAGGAAGGGAGTTGTTACCATTGTTGCTGTTGTTACCATTGTTGCTGCTGTGCGTTTGCAAATTTTCTTCAGACTTCTGCCTGTTTACATAATTAGCGGGTCTAGACGTCTAGTGGACTGTGGACACAGCCGAAGATGTAGCAGGTTCCGAAGAGTTACTTTTCCTTTTCTGGCTACCAAAACCCCTATTTTCCCTGCTATTTCTGAAATACCTTTCATCACCACGAGACACAAAAGGCCTATAATTCCCGTCATCTAACTTCATGTCAGCAAGCCGAGACCCAAATGGCAGAACCCCATGATGAGCCTCTTCAGCATACATGTGCCAGCTCCCACAAAAAAAAAAAAAAAAAA